CAGTCATCTGCATTTTTAAACAATCCACTCTCACAACATCCCCCTTCTCTTGAGAGCTAAAACATACTCAATCTCATGAAACAGCATTCATTTATTAATGAGGGCAGTGCCTCACTGTGCACTAGACCTTACCTCTTTATTTTGTTTGTTTGTTTTTTAGGTTTTTGCCATAGGGTATGTGTGATCACCAGAGAGACAAAGAGAGGGAAAACAAGAACTCCCCACACCCCAGAGGCTATGGCCTTCCACAATCCCTTCTCCATTCTCTTCTTGGGATTTTGGACATGCACACACATGTGCCCAGTGTGGTTTTCAAGCTGCTGGGTCTGGAACTTAAACCATGGTTGGTCATGTGGGAGTCCAGTGCATTAACCACCATGCCACCTGCTGGCTCCTAGGCCTTACGTCTTAAAGGCCTCACCACTTACCAGGGTCATAACATTAGGGGCCAAATTCTAAAACATCAACCTTTGGGGTACAAACCATTATCCAAACCATAACATTCTGCCCCTGGCTTCCAAGATTCATGTTTTTCACATAAAAAACACAGCCATTCCATTACAGTATTCCCTAAAGTCTTAACTTGTTCTAGTACCAAAAGTCCAAGGCCAGAGTTCCATCTGAGACTCAGGTAAATGCCTTCCAGCTATGAGCCTATTAAAAAAAAAATCAAAACAAATTACATACTCCCAAAGTGAAATAGTGACAAAGGCATGGATAGAAAGGAGGCCAGGCCTCAAATAAGTTCCAAATGCAAGAGAACAAACACTCAGTTTTGAGACTTAAAATACTGAATCCTGGATCCTCCGAGGAGGTTGAGTCCCCAAAGCAGCAGCAGCCTTGTCCCTCTGACCTTGCTATCCTTAATCTATGCTTCAGCTCTCTCCGGTCGGGAGGCTCATGTCTGCAGTTCTTTCCAGCTGGTGCTGTATGCTGGTAGCTCTGCAGTTCTAGATTTTTCAGTATGACCCCACCTCTGTGGCTCCACTAGACGTGGTGGTGGTGAGTACTCTTCCTGGTAGGTACTCTGCCCTCGGATCCCATTTTACTGCTTGACACTGCCCTGCTAGAGGCTTTCTTTTGCAGGTTCAGCCTTGTGGCATGCCTCTGTCCGAGCTCCTACCCTTGTGACATGCCTCTGCCTGAGCTCCTAGGCTTTTCAATATATTCTTTGAGATCTAAGTGGAAGCTGCCACACCCATACATCTCTTGCATTCTGCTGCTGCATACACCTGCAGAATTACCATCACCAGTGTTACTACTTGCATGTTCTAGAGCAGCGAGTGGGGCAGTAGTAGTCTTAACCACAGATCCAGCTCCACCCGGCACTGAAAAGGGTGGCTTCACCAAGATGAAATGATTGTGAGGAGTGCAGTCCCAAGGTGTCTTTTTTTTTTTTTTAAGAGAGATTTTTGCTATAGGGTGCCTGCACTCACCAGAGAGACAGAGACAGAGCAATAGAAAGTGAGAAATCAGTCCCTGGCGGATGGCCAGGCCACAATCCATTCTCTTGGGATTTGGGGCATGTATACACACACACACTGCGTAGTTTCAACTCTTCAGGTCTGGGACTCAAACTGTGGTGGGCCATGTGGGAATCCAGCACCTTAACCATTATGCCAGCTGCTGCCCCTCCCCCCAGTGTCTTTGGACAGTAAGACATCTGGCCAGGGGCTGAAACCATCCTGTTCTTCTAGGCTCTGTGCTTGTGAAAGCTAGGGTAGAAATGCCTTCAGGGCTTTTCTCCCATTTTCTTGACATGACCTTCTAGGTCTGTTCATCTCTTTAATAGCTGATTTTCTGTCCAGCAAAATGCTCCTTCATTCTTTACCACATAGTCAAGCTGCAAGTTTTCCAAATTTTTATGTTCTGCTTCCCTTTTTATCAGTTCTATCTTTAAGTCATCTCATTCCTCTTTCATTTCACTAAATGCAGTCAATAACCAGACAGCTGCTTCTGTACTTTGTTTTGAAATTTCATTTGCCAGATCTTCATAATTCTTAAATTTCCTTTCCCTTAGGACCTGGAGATTTTTGAGTTTAACACAGGTGATCTTTTCTCCAATTGCCAGTAAGACTTTACTAGTTTTCCTCTGAAAGCTCCTCAGAATAACTTTTAATATCTATGTCACTGTCAGTATTCTGGTCATCATCGTTTACCACTCTCTAAGACATTCTTAAGTTTGTCTTGGTCTTCTCATCTTCTGATCCTCCACTAGAATTGCCCTTAATTCATTCTAGACTTTTTCAATTTTGCTTCTCCAGGCTCTTCTAACTTTGTACCTTACCCAGTTCAAAAGCTGCTTTCACTGTTTCAGATACCTGTAGGCAACACAGCTTTGAGTGGCCATGCCAATTTTTTTGTCTCAGTTTGGTGTTGGGTTGCTAACAGGAATAGCAGAGATGGGTGATTTATAGAAATAGAGGTTTATTCAGTTCACAGTTTATAGGTCCAAAGATTATGTAATTAATAGGTACCTTTAGGAAGGCCAGTAGGCAGTGTGGTGGTTAAGGTGCTGGACTCCCACATGGCTGACCGCAGGTCAACTCTTGGGCATGGCAGCTTGAAACTCATGCCAGGTGCATGTGTATGTCCCAAATCTCAGAAGAATGGAGAAAAGATTGTTCGAGGCCATACCCCCTGGGGGGTGATTTCTCACTTTCCCTCTCATTTTCTCTCTGTCTCATGCCCTGTGGCAAACACTTTTTTTTTTTTAATTTTTTTAATTTAAAGATACTTTTAGGAGTTAGAGCCATCTGGCCAAACTGAAATATTCTCAGGTGGTTTTCAATAGTTTCTTACGATACATAAGTATATACAAATAATCCTTATGTTAATTCTATTATACATTTTTTGCTAGGTCTGGTGAACATTAGGTAAAGAAAATATAGGATGCTTTGTATTCAGTTTATCACTAAACCAAGAACTTACTTTATGTTATTTAACATGTTACTGACCTTTATAAACAACTTTTCTGCCTCAGGGAGTCTGTTATACTGGAAATTTTTACTATTTTAAATTCAGAACTACTGATTTCACTCTAATCAAATGGCGTGATCTTCCAGCACATGTTTGACCTTCCTGGGCCCATTCTTCAGTAGTTAAATGTAGGCGTTGACCTAGGTCTGTTTTATGAGAAAATCTTTTTCTTAAATATATTTCACCTAGAACCCTAGTATAGGAGACAAATAGTTTTATACTTTTTCTAAATGAAAAGTTCAGATAAATATTGGGCTAGCAGGTGGCATGGAGATTAAGGTGCTGGAGCCTATATAGCCATCTGTGCTATTTGAGTCCCCAAACCAGCATGGAAATCATGCCAGGCGTGTGTGTGTGTGTTTGTGTGTGTGTGTGTGCACTCAAAATCCTGAGAGGAGACCAGAGAGAGGAAAAGGGCTTATGTCATGTCTTTACTCTCTCTCTGGTGAGTGCACACCACACTCTATAGCAAAAACGAACAAACGAAGAATTCAGATAAAGATTAGAGTGTCCATGAGATAAGACTTCTCATGAAAAGAAAAATTTTAAATGGGTTTCAAGTGGTTGGCCATCTTATATTGGACTCACCTGTTATTTTATTTTCTCATTTTAATTGCACAGCATATAAAAAAATTCTGTTGCAGTACAGTTATAAATGGTATTTTTTTAAAGAATTGTGTTTTTTGTTTGTTTGTTTTTGCTATAGGGTGTGTGCACTCGCCAGACAGACAGAGACAGAGAGACAGAAAGCGAGAAATCACCCCTCAGGGGGGATGGCCACGCCGCAATCCCTTCTTCTCTGGGGATCTTGGGTACGCATGCACACGCGCCCGGCATGAGTTTAAGCCATCAGGTCCGGGACTCGAACCGTGGTTGAGTATGTGGGGGGAGTCCAGCGACATAGCCATTACGCTAACTGCTGGTCCCAAGAATTGTGTATTTAATTTTATTTATTATTATTTTTTTTAATTTGCTATGCGTACTCACCATAGAACATGCATACTCACCGGGGAGGGAGTGGGAA